AAATGTAAGTGCATGTCGAAATACACTCGTATGTGCGTAAAAACACAATGTCGGCGGAAAAAAATGGAAAATAAACTCATGAACACGTAATAGCGTTAAAAAAATGTTTTTTTGTTTTTTTTTTTAAAAATAGAAATAAACATATATAAGCATATTAAAATTGTTTTTTTTTAAAAAAATAATATAAAATGTCGAGAAGTACCTTACGTGCAATAGTCGTTTAAATGTTCTGGAAATCTCACCCTTCTTCCAGAACGCGTCTTTTTAAGTTTATTTTCGTATACTGTCGAAGTATCATCGTGTGTGTTGGTTGTCGGATGAGGTATTATAAGTGTCGGAGTCGTGTCGTTCGATTGTACCGAAGGAAAATCCACGTAGATAGGATTTCCTTCTAAATACGCTGCTTTTAAGCGATCGATGCTGATGCTATCGTTGGTTCCGTTCTTATCGACTATATAGTACTTAGATTCACGTTGAAGAACTTTGAAGGGTCCTTCGTATGCTGATTCGAATGGTCGTCGATGCGAGTCTCGACGAACGAAAACGTGTGTACTATATCGTAAGTCAGGTTGAACGAAAACATCAGTTGATTGAGGTCGAGTGGAAGCAGCTTTAACTGAACGCATTGCGTTTGTAAGCCTGTTCGTGTAGGAGGTTAGATCCATGCTCATTGAAGAGGATGAAGGATCCACGAATTCTCCTGGAAGTCGAAGTGTCGTACCCTAAACGAGTTGAGACGCAGTGTATCCAATGTCAGCTTTCACTGCATTGCGGATACCTAGTAAGACGAGTGGAAGAGCGTCAGTCCACTGTGAAACGTTTGCAGCTGATAGCGAAGCTTTCAGTTGTCGGTGAAAACGTTCTACCAACCCGTTTGCTTGTGGATTGTAGGCGGTCGTTCGGAAGCGAGTGATTCCTAAAAGTGTGGTCAGACGACGGAAAAGATCGGATTCAAACTGACGTCCGCGGTCTGTAGTAATGGTTGAAGGGCAGCCAAAGTTTGCTACCCATCGTTCGACGAAGGTGCGAGCCACTGTCTCAGCAGTGATGTCCTTGATAGGTACTGCTTCTGGCCATCGAGTGAAACGGTCTACGCAGGTTAAGAGATAAGAGTATCAATTTGAATCTGGTAAAGGTCCTACCAAATTCAGATGAACATGGTCGAAACGAGCATCGGGAGTTTTAAACGAGCCTAAGGGACATTTATTGTGTCTGATAACCTTAGAGTTTTGGCAGCTTACACAGAAGCGTGCCCAGTCCCTCACGTCTTTATTCATTCCAGCCCAGCAAAACCTTTCTGCTATAAGCTTGATGGTTGCACGAACACCTGGATGCGAAAGTTTGTGCAATGTGTTGAAGACATTGCGTCGATAATGTTTCGGCACGATTGGGCGATCCCTACCTGTAGATGTGTCACAAAGTAAGGTTTCCTTACCTGTTCCCATCTGTTTGATGCGTAGTTTAAGTGTTGTGGACGATAACTCGTGCTGAAGATCACTGTCTTCTTTTTGAAGCTCGGCGAGTTTAAGAAGGTCGATTCCTTGGAAACTGTTCAAGGAAGTTATATGAGATAAAGCGTCTGCAACTACATTGTTTGCTCCAGAGATGTGTTGAATGTCTGAAGTAAACTGCGAAATGTAGTCCAGTTGTCGAGACTCACGGGGAGAGTACTTGTCAGAATGGGAGCTTAACGAGAAAGTGAGCGGTTTATGGTCCGTGAAAAGAGTGAATTCACGACCTTCGATGTAGTGTTGGAAATGCCGTACAGCACAATACATAGCTAGGAGTTCCCTACCGAATGTGCTGTACCTCGATTCGGTGTCTAGCAACCTTCTAGAGAAAAAGGCCAAGGGTTGCCAGGAGTTGTTAACCCATTGTTGTAAGACTCCTCCGATTGCTGAGTCGGATGCGTCTACTGCGATGCTAATGGGTGCTCGGGTGTCCTGATGTGCGAGCATCGTTGCTTTAGCAATCAGTTCCTTAACTGTGGAGAATGCTTTTCTTGCGGTGTCGTCCAAATTAATGGATTTCGCATTTCCACGAAGTTGGTCGGTCAGAGGTTTCATAAGTAATGCGCATTTGGGTATGAAACGTCTATAGAAACTTACCAGGCCGTTAAACGTGCGCAATTGCTTGACGGTGGTCGGTTCTGGGTAATCCAGAATGGCCGCCACTTTGGTCCTAAGAGGTCGAATGCCTTGAGCATCGATAGTGTGTCCTTGGAAGTCTAACGAGTCGGTTCCGAATTGGCATTTCTGAACGTTTACAGTTATGCCATGTTTTTGAAGTCGTTCGAAAACAAGATCCAGATGCTTGAGATGTGTTTCTCTGTCCGGACTTGCGATTAGACAGTCGTCAACATACGCATGTACGAAGTTGAGACCTCGAAAAACGTCTTCTATGAATCTTTGGAATGTTTGAGCAGCATTCCTTAAACCGAAAGGCATTCGCAAAAATTCATAGAGTCCGAAGGGAGTTATGATAGCCGTTTTCGGTATGTCGTCAGTAGCCATAGGGATTTGGTTATACGCTTTAACCAAGTCGATTTTCGAAAAGACAGTTGTACCTTTCAAGGTAGCTGTCAAATCGTGAATGTGAGGCAACGGGTAACGATCGGGAATGGTTTTCGCGTTCAATCGCCGATAGTCACCAGTTGGACGCCAATCGTTTCTGTCCTTTTTAGGGACCATGTGCAACGGAGATGCATATGGGCTACTTGACGGTCGTATGATTCCTAAGTCGATCATGTGATCGAATTCGTTTTTCGCTAACCTTAGCTTTTCAGGAGCTAGTCGGCGTGCTTTAGAAAATACAGGTGGTCCTGTAGTCGTGATGTGATGTGTAACATTGCTGGTTACACACGGTAGTTTCGTTTGAGTTTGTTGTATCTCAGGGTACTTATCGAGTAGTGGTTGATAGAGTGGGTCTACCATATGTTTAACTGTGACTGGGGATACTCTACAACCAGTAAAAGAAGTTACGCAAACGGACAAATTAGTGTTCCCGTCTACTAGCCTCCGTTTGCGCGTGTCGATGATCAGATTATGGTGTTGTAGAAGATCCATACCAATGATTGGCATAGAAACATCTGCAACAACGAAAATCCAGTGAATGGGTTTGCGTAAACCCACGTTAAGGTAAACGTACCTTTTGCCATACGTAGCGATCGGTTTTCCGTTTGCCGCCTGTAAGTTTAGAGTCGATTCGAGTAGTCGGTCGTTAGGATTTGCTGGGAGAACGCTAACTTCTGCGCCAGTGTCGACGAGGTAGCGAACTCTCGTTGTCACATCTGTGACGAATAACAGAGGGCTTTGTTCGCCGGCTACGGTTGCCGTTAACGCGTGCCGGCTTGGAAGTTTCCCGAATTGCTTTTCGAATCAGTCGGTTTCGTGTTGGGAAAATTGCAGGGTTTTCTGCAATTCCTGAAAAGCTTTCCATACTGGTTATGATACCAGCACCAGTCGGGGTTATCTGCCTCTCGTGGTCTAGAGACAGATCGCTTACGAGAAATGCTTCTACGTGGTGTGCGCGATCTCTTACGGTCGGTACGAAGACTAAGATAACACGTGAGTGTGTGACATAAGTCGTTTATATCATTCTGAGTCGTTTGAGGTTTTTCTTTGACTGAAAATACCTCGGTAGTAGATTTCGTAATTTCTAAAATGCGGTCGGCAGATGCAGCTAGCTCGTCTAAGGCGTTGTTCTGGAACGAGACCAGAACTGCTTGCACCTGTTGGGGAAGTTTTGACAAGAAGAGTTGTTTGAATAGACCTTCGTCGAAAGTTCTTGGGCCTATTACCTCTCTCATCCGTTGCAACATGTCTGTCGCAGAACCGTGTTGCAGGTCGATATTGTTGAAGAGTTGATCTAACCTTTGTCGATCGGTTAGGTCTCCTCGTTTAAGAATCGAGCGTTTTAAGATTTCGTAAGGATCGGAAACATCACTAGTAAACATACTAGGTGTTACGTACCTGTTGAATTCGCGCGGTAGTGCCTTGACTACTGCGAGGAATTGTGCACGTGTGTCGATCACGCCGTGCTCGGAGAAGTCGGCTTCGGCGTAGCAAAACCAGGCTTCGATGTTGTCGGGCCAGAAAGGCATCAGTTGAAACGAAGGCGGGGGCAAAGTCTTAAGCTTGAGTACTTTAGGTGTCTGTTCAGTCATGACGAAGTATGAAGTACGATAATGAACGAGGGGAAAATATATATATATCCAGGAAAAAACACGAAAAAAATCACAATGTTTAAAAAAATAAAAAAATAAGGCAATGATATATAAAAATCCCAAAAAGGAACAGACTCACAGTTGCAATTAGGTGTACCAGATCACGTCGGTTTCACCAATGATGATGTCACAGGTATTCAGTGTTTGACAACGCTTCTACCAGTAACACCTAATATATTTCGTTCCCGCCCAGAGAAATCAAAAGACAGAGTCGAGGAGATCGGAAGAGTATATTTGGCGATGACCAATATATCGGAATTCTCTGATCTAGTCTGGCTAGCGATTGCGGTTGATGTTGAGCACGGCGTTACCACACGTGATCTGGTGCAGATGCCTGACCGAGCGCCTTCAGCTAAATGAGTCCACTAAAACATATGGTCAGCATCCAATGTCGAAAAACTAGTGCTATTTATTTTGAGGATTTATTTACCGCTACAACAAATTAGTTTACAGACGACTATCAACTTTCCTATTGGAACCTATTAGTCGATACGTGAATGAAGCTCCATCTTTCGATAAATCCAAAATAAATTTGGGTTAGCTGAGAGACTACCATTATCAAGACTCACACAGGCCATAAAGCATCCTGTCCTTCCAAATCAAAACTGAAACTTATACATTGTACACCAGCCCGCCATTTCGGAGCCAGGACAAAAGCTTCTTCTGGAAGAAATCCGTTTGAGTTGTATCAAGGTAAACTTATCTGCATGGTGTTATATATTCAAGTCAGAGAAGTCGTTGAGCAGATAAGATTTTCCAAAAAGTGGTTATTCATATGACTTCTAAGAGGCTACCCGCTGACACTTGTGACAGGCCGCTTTACAAAATAGTGGTTGTAGGTGATGGAGGTGTTGGAAAGTCTGCACTAACAATCCAGGTAACAAAACCGGATGTATATTATGCCATTTAGTACTTCCAGAGGATGTTTCTCGAAGAACATGATCCTACGATTGAGGACTCATACATCCAAAACGCTGAGATCGATAATGAGCTGTGTATGTTGTATGGTAAGTTCTTTGATTTTATTATCTCTCGTGTGCATGGCATGGCAGTAAGTCTCCCTTTCTTGTCTGTTGTTTGGGACAGAAAAACAAGAGAATCACTGGGTCCGAATCATTAGCTACACCACTTGTAGCGAAGGACATTATGTGCCTGTAAATTTACTATCATACTGCAAATTTATCGACGATTTTGCGCCATTTTATGTTCATACTCCAAGCACTACTTACTACATCTATTTTTAGCAATGAATTTGCAAATATCAACGATATAGTATGATAATTCGTGTGCATGTATCATGAGAATAATAAGGTAGGCTAATAGCGTTTATGCTGAGCTTTATAAGCTTCTGTAAGCATCTTTGTATATCAAGTAGTTAGGTGTGGGTATGAACAATTACCATGACCATTAGCAAGTATTTATAATTGATGCTATGGTCTTAAAAAATTGGCCACTACATGCTTTGCGAATGTGACAGCAACCCCATACTCTGCGTTGTTTGCCGACACTGAGGAATAAGTAACAAAAACGAGTGGTCGGTCTATGATAGCATCACTGTTTGGAAGATAACTGTACGGGTAGCAACTGTTGATCCGTTACGTCTTCTTGGTCGGGGTTCTGATTTCCATGAAACTCAGTAACTTAATGCATTTCCAGAGACTAAACAAACTGGAATCCAGTGATGATCCAACTGTGGCTCTTACTTAGTCATAAGAAAGAGGAACACGTTTTAATATGAGAAGTTTCTGATGACTGCATTTCAACTGGATTATGCTCTCCTCATGGGACATCACTTTTGTCTACTTATTAGTTGAACTTTTGACTTTTCTATTGTTCCGTGTCAAATATTCTGTTACTTATTCGTTTGGTCCTATGTTGTGCCAAATTTACTTGTGAATGAAAATGTACGATAAAAAATGATGGGGACGAAATCGATTATTGAATACATATAGTTTTATCAGAGAACTTAAATATAGAACAATGCGTGTTTAGTAAGACTCATAGAATAATACAAACGTGTGTTCTCGGGCCCGACGACTGTAGTAACATACGAAGCGCTTGTAGAGACCATTAAACTGCTGCCCAGCGGCACACTACCCACCAACAGCGTAGATAAACTCTGGACTGGATTTTTCGAGTTGGCGTGCCTGTAAATAAAAGTGACGATAACCAAAAGTTCTTGAGGTCCTTAAGAATGACTAAGATGATTGTGCGTCGTTCGGTGATATGGTTTAAAACCAGTTATGGTGACGAAATTTCTTTTCTTTTTTATCTTCCCCCTTAATTCTTTCTATTTCCTAATTACGAACCATTCATGTTTACTTTCTTACCTCACCAATATTATCGTTGCTCTGACTCATGTTCTATATCTCCTAATTGCTTCATCTATGATGCAGCACGACAACCAGTAAATGCATATTTGTATCAGGTTCTGGTCGTTTATGACTGGTTGATTAAGGATGGTGTTCTGAAATATTTTGTGAACGAACTGAAATGCTAGTTGCAGTCGGGAAACGAAAAGTGGTCCCGTCCGGTTGTCTACTTATTTAAACAAGCATTGGCCCAGAAAGGTACCAAATATATATGCGTCACACTTCGTCATTCGATATGTGAGAGCTAAATACTGCATGAGTGTTCAAACCGAAGCAGGATTCCGTCCGATTAATTTCCATTGCTGATCATCCAAGTTCATAAAGACAAAAAATCTCATAGGAGTCGGTTTGATTAAAACCTTTCCCGGGATTCCAGCTACTGTTATTATTTTAGGCTCTACTGCTGTTCATAAGCAGCCAAAAACGTAATCTGTATTCTACCCATTCTTAGATCATAAAAGACATCTGTCGTTTTGGGACTATCCTCGTATTCATTTACCTGAAAATATTTAAGTCGATCAAAAGAGCGTATGACGATCTGTGCTATTAAAAAAAATCATCGAGTAAGTAACTGACACTACCAATGGCTTTTTACTTGAAAAATTATGGTCAGGTTGTAATTTATAATAGTCTGTCGTCATAAGCAACCAGGGTTTTATGTCCGATTTCCAAACTTCTATTCAACTACACCATATATATGCTACTAGAGGCGATACCTTTTTATATGACTCAAAAATAAATCTTAATCTAAGATTCTTTCATCGAGTCCGAGTAAACAACAGACGTCTTATTTAGTAAAGATCATGAAAAAAATACACCTAGTATTCTGTAAACGCCGATTGTAATGCCTAAAGGTTTGTAGTATGACTCTCACCCTTTAAACCGAGATCTGCCCAAAACCTGTTGAAATCAGAAACTACGGTAGTAAAAGGGAGTGAATCAACTGAGCTGATTGACCTCTTTATATAGTAATAGTAATCTCCTTACCAGATGTTTCATGTTTTAGTTGGTTGGTGTCCTGCAAAATGCCTTCACCAATACAAAATGTTCATTTGTCCACCTAATGTAGGTGTGATGTTTGTTTGTTTACCAACGCCCACGTATATTGCGCTTACATTCATTGTTATGCAAAATTGAAGCATAACACCTGAGAGTATAAGAAAATGTTGCAACCCATTTACCAAATACAGGTTCGTGTCCTCGGGTTCGAGTCACTTTTTGTATTAGGGCTAGTGACAATGACCGGCTACCCAAACTAAAGTTGGTGGAGCGGATCTTGAACCTGTGGCCTAACTGCTGTAATTCGAACGCCTTAACTTCTAAACTACGGCTCCACTAGAGTAATAAAAACATACAAAAGACAAATAGTAGATCACAAGTGTCTGCAAAGCACCGCTTGTATGTGATGGAACCATTAGAGTAGTACTGATGTCATAAACAGAGTACTATGTAATTGTAAGTATAAGATTTATTTATAAAAAACGTAATCGTAATTATGCACAAAATAAAATCAGTTCATGAATTTAGAGGCTGACGATTAAACTAATGGAATGCAGATTACATGTTTAACGTTTTCTTGGTTAACGACTATAATCTAGGATCGAAAAACATAGCACAAATGGCTAAACCTCACTATTACATCTTCAAATTCTCATACTGCATTAATCTGTGACATTTTTGTTTTCACCCTCTTGTTGTTCGTCTAGTTTTCCTTCTTACAACTCAATATTTTCGTTTAGTTATTTCAGCTGTTAGTTTCCTCTCATCATACTGATGAAAGTGTGGTAATGTGGGCTGATACAAAATTTCCCAATTTTCCACGTTATCAATATCTCTTCTACCTCCAGTTAATCTTATCTATTGTACCCTGTTTATTTTGGTTATTGGTCAGATATCTCACGCACATTTAGGAGTGATTGATTGTATAGGATCTGATGTAAATGACTCACCTTTTTTAAACAACTGTAAATCAAGTGATAATCCAGATTTATTTAAGACCTCGACCTCATTTAAAAATAATGCAGATTAATAAATTAAGCCAACGTTTTTCCCGTTTGTTTCCAGTACTGGATACTGCAGGACAGGAGGAGTTTAGTGCAATGCGAGAGCAGTATATGCGCATAGGTCAAGGATTTATCATTGTATACTCAGTGACAGATCCTCAGAGTTTTGAAGAAGTTCAAAGATTTCACAAAGAAATTTCACGGTGTAAAGACTGTGGTTCTTATCCTATGATATTGGCAGCAAATAAGATTGATTTGTCTCAACAACGCCAAGTTTCGGAAGAAGAGGGTAAACGTCTAGCCACTTATCTCCAAGTAAGTTTTGTATTTTAAACTGTATCTTTATTTCAATCATTTCTAATTATATACAACTACTCAACTGTATTATTGTTTTGTATAATCTTGCAATTGATATAACTTTCTCCATAGTAGCAACCAAGTAACTTATCGTTTAATTGGGAAACCATTATAGGTCATCTACAAAACGATAGCTGCTTATGTCATCACTGCTTTAGCCAGTGTATCTTGTAATACATCATACCAATTAAAGGATAAGTCCTCTGGTTTTGTCAAATCTACGTATTCAACTGCTTCCGTGGAGAAAGCTATATCGGGTGTCCAACCAAGCAACTGAATCAACGAGTTAGTGTACACCCTTTGTGGTTAGTAAAGGGCATGACCAAAACAATAGGGACCTTCGTTGTATCATACTGACGGGCTGTTGCTCAATTTTTGATTGATTAGTTTCGCCATGTGTATGCGAAAGTTGAAATCCTGTTCAGGTTATTTGAGTAAGATACACAAGCAGCGACAATTAAAAATATGTCAATTGTGCAGCTAATCTGTTTGGCGTTATTTGCTTCGGAAAACTTTTAGCGACGACCGAATATAACACTCTTAGTATTCATCCAAGTTATATGTAAATAATTTTCACGAAATCTACTAATTTGTTACAAGTGGGAGATGTATAAAATTCACAACGTGTACACTAGCTAGCATAGAATTAGTTCCTAAAGAGTCTACAAATAACTAAATAAAGACATCTCATTAATACACATCGCTCGTGACTTAGTCTATCTAGTGTTATTTATTTAACTAATTTTCGCATCATATCAGATTTCCGTGTTAATATTAGTTTGGTCAGTCAATGATTAATGCATTGAATTAATGCGCACATTCAAGCATTTTCTTCACTGATTTTATGCATCAGGAAATATTTCCAAATCTTTTTAGTAACTATAAATGAAAGAGATAAAATAAAGATTTGTCACCACCTATATCAAATGACTGTACAGATTGGAATGTCATTTTTCTAGTTCATTTCATCAATGTAAGTACAAATTGTAAGTTGTCATACTAGTAAGTTGGTTGTATGATAATTATTTTATTCCATGCTTGTAGTATTTTCTTCATAAAATCGACACACAAAGCTAGTATTTTACAGTTTTCCTATAAACGGCTTATTCCATAGTGGTATCAATGATACAAATAAAAGTAAGTAATTTCATTGTAAGCTTTAGTAATTTCCTGAGAAATGAACAATCTTTATCTTTCCCCCTAATATATATATATATATATATATACTAGTCGGTTTTTACTGATACAATTTGAAGATTTAAAAACCATATTTTTGCGTTATGTACAAAGTAGATTAAGGTTTGTAGTTTTTATTTTCTAAAATGCTTCCTTTTTCTCCCAAAATTTCTAATTAGGTTCCTTACATTGAAACAAGTGCTAAAGATCCTCCAGTTAATGTAGACAAAATGTTTCACGATATGGTACGAATTATCAGGTATGTTATATAAACAGTTCGTATTTACTAAGATAATGAACCAATGATCTATAAATTAGTTCATTGTCTGTGCCTCATCTTTTGTTCACCGGTGCTTCAATCACTATATAGGCCTGGAATATTGTAAACATTAATATCTGCCGTTTAACGCATACAAATAAACTAATGTATTGGACTAGATTATTAAAATTAATATCATTCAATAGTATCTGATTGAAAAAGCAAACCAATGTTGTACAACTGCACCCCCCAACACTTATTTGGTTAAAGCTGGTTAAGCACGGCACTCTTTACAATTATTTAACTTGAATAATTTGTTTGGTCTTTTTTGATGAACTATTTTTTATGAGTTGAGATTTTTGCTGGCAATTTGTTTCTATCAACAAAATCACAGTCTCATCTACTCCACACATTCCTATTGCTATGATTGAATAGATTACGAAATCATATAAAATCGGCGAACGAAACGAAGAATCAGCGACACAACTCAAATGTATGTATACAGTATAAAAATGTCACAAAATAGCTTATTAAAAGATTTATTTATTTATTTGAACACATAAATATTGATACAAGAGAGCGCCAATATATATGCGCCACACAAAACAATGAGAATGCGAAGAGAAATAGAAAAAAAAACTAAGGAGCGCAAAAAAAAGAGAACAATAACGAAGAGATTGGTGTAAGGTAGTGTGGTAGTAACGAGGTACAATCAGAAGAAATCTTTCATGTAAGGGAGACATAACCACTTTTTATGAAGAAAGTAAAAGAAGGTTACAGCAGGATCGCCACTGGCTTCTATTCTGAGCCATATCTGATAACGTCTCTAGCCACTGTGTAGCACCATCTCTCGGACCCCAACCAGGGAGTCATGAAGGACCGACAAAAGCCAGTCCTTTGCAGCTTTCTTTCATACCACGACACCACGTCATACATTGACCACCTCCACTCTTTCCAACCAGTCCCAGCGTCGGCAAATAATGCACGACGAGGAATTCTCTGGGACGACATTCGTAGAACATGTCCAAGCCACAGAAGTCGATGTTTCGAGATGGTGACACCAATTGAATTATCATCTCTGTGCCCGAAATCACGATGCCAAAACTCTGCCTTACTAACATGGTGTTGCCGCAGAATGTCAGCAATCCTTCGGAAACAGCGATGATCGAACACAGAGAGTCGTCTAACGTCCTCAACTCGGAGAGGCCAGGTTTCACAAGCATAGAGCAAAACTGCTCTCACCGACGCGTTGTAGATCCGACTTTTTACAGCCAGACTAACATCACGAAGGCGCCAAAGGTGGCCCAGATTGGCATAAGCCGCTCTGTCTTTCACTATACGTGCATTGATCTCATCACTCACACACCCACCAGCACTTATGCCGTTACCCAGATACACGAACTTCTCAACTACGTCTATCTGCTCACCATCCAGGGTGAGTACAGGATTGGAATCCTGCCAGTCTTGTAGAAGTACTTTGCACTTGGAAGGTGCAAAGCACATACCATACCTACGGACACTGATTGCCAACTGATTAAGTGCGGATTGCATGCCTTGGGCATTATCGCACAGTAAGACAATATCGTCCGCATACTCAAGGTCGAGAAGTCTTTCTCCAGGCAACAGATCCACACCACCATTACTTACATTCATCAGAGCTGTTTCTAGAATGTCATCGATGGCAAAGTTGAAGAGGAATGGTGAGATTGGGCAACCCTGCCTAACCCCACTACTCGAATGGAACAATGGAGAAAGGTGGTTGTATGCCCTCACTCTGCCTGAGGTGTTTGTATATAGGGCTTTTAGGATGTTAATAAACTTCTCAGGCACACCCTTCTTCAATAGACAATCCCAGAGAATAGTCCTGTCCAACGAATCGAAGGCAGCCCTGATGTCAAGAAACACTACGATTGTTGGCCTTCGATACGTATGACGGTGTTCCAACATTTGGCGGAGGGTGAAGATATGATCAATACATCCTCGACCAGAACGAAAACCAGCCTGCACCTCGCGAGTCAATCTTTCTCGGGTTTTGAACAACCTACTAAGTATGACAAGACAATAGTTCGGACGCAATCGGAAGTAGACTTATCCCCCGATATTTGTTACAGGAACGACGTGAACCCTTTTTAAAGATAGGGACAACTATCGACTCATTCCATGACGTTGTTACACTCTCTAGTTCTCAGACCTTTGTAAACAACGTCGTCAGTTCCTTAGCCGGAAAGTCACCACCATCCTTAAAAAGAGCCGGAGGTAAGTCGTCTGGGCCAGGTGATTTGTAACGCTTCAAGAGTTGGAGTTCCTTTCGGACTTCCTCCTCGTTTGGTGGATCAGTCGTCACCGGCCATGGAGGGCAGGACAGTCTGACCGATGTTGCCGGAGCAGCAGGCCAGTTGAACTGCCCTTCGAAAAATTCTGCCCATCGTCCAAGGCGTCGATGGATGTTAGTGATTGGCATCCCATCATCCTCGCAGATTGTTTCACTCACACCAGACTTCTTGTTGCCAGTGGCTCGGATGAGGTGGAAGAGCTTCCGGTAGTTACCAGATGCAGCTGCTGCTTCCAGCTCATTAGCACGTTTCGACCACCAGGCTTCTCGGTCCTTACGCAAGCTTTGCCCAATTTCCTTACGTAACATCCTTCGTTTATGGTCAAACTCACGGTCACCCGGAGTAGACCGACGGGCTTCAATGAGTTGTAAGGAACCAGAAGAAACCCAGTGCTTAAAAGCGGGACGTTTCGCAAACCCACAACTGACTGTTCCCGCCATTTTCATGGAGTCATGCAATTGCAACCAATGCTCATCTATACTTTTCGGTGGAGTGGTAGCTAGCCTAGAGGCTAGCTCGGTTCGATACTTACTTGCAACAGAAGTTGCAACCAGCTTGCTAATATCAATCCGTTGATGGTGGTCACTTCGTTGTCCACTGAAAAGTAAGACAAGATTGGCGCAGACCAAGGCATGGTCAGAGTCCAGATAGGTACTCCAAAAGGAGCGGCAGTCTTGTACACAACCACGCCAGCGGTAGCTGATCGCGATGTGATCAATCTGAGTCCAGGCTTGAGATGCAGAGGGAGGACGCCAGGTGGCACATCGGCGATGACTGTGCCGAAAGTTAGTGCTAGCCAGAAACAGGTTGTGGTCTGTGCACAGTTGCAGTAGACGGTCCCCGTTATCTGACCTGCGACCAACAAGTCCCCATCGGCCACCTAAACGACTCTCTTCTGTGCCTAGTCGCCCAACCTGAACATTCAAGTCTCCGGCTAGTACCACAATATCTGTCGAACGCCCTTTCTGGAGAAGAACAGATAACTGGTGGTAAAACTCATCCTTGATTGCATCCGGGCTGCAATCTGTCGGGGCATAGGCGGAGATGACGAAAAGACATCGTTTCTCACGCCGATTTCTTCTCACTTTGATGGAACTTTCTAATCTAACAGCACATAACCGACTGTTAATGGGGATCCAATCGACTAGTGCTGCCTCAGCTCGAGCGCTTAGTGCGACACCAACACCAGCAAGACCAGACGAAGATGCCACAGGGTCCCCGGATAAGCGCACGTAAAACAAGCTTTTCGAAGCGACAGATGGAGATCGAATTTGTAGTACTTCGCCAGAGTCTTGAATACGGGTCTCGGATAGACAACAAACATCAATATTAAGACTTTCCAAAGACATACCCAGCCCTATCTGTTGTCCAACCTGCATAAGTGTGCGAACGTTGAGGGCAGCCAGTTTGAATGGTGCGTGTGGTTTCAGAAAAACTGCTTCAGTTCTCGTATTCGGTGGTAACATACAATTTTCAACCGGACAGTGACTCGAGAACGTTTAGATATAGTCGAATTTCCACCAAAGACGAGCCGCTGTATAAGTATAAAAGAGGGTGAATAATGTGGAAAATAATAATAATAATAATAATAATAATAATAGTATTAATAATGACAATAATTGTAATGATAATAATTTGAATCAATTGGTTGTTTTTCGAAGCGAGAAAAGTAATTTCCATAGACATAAAGAGCTGTGATACTGCCCGGGTGCCCGAACCGAGGCAGGTGGTTATCTTAGGGGGCCACTTCCCGAGCCTTTGACCTAAAGGTCTAACCCACAAGGCAGTGGAGCATCGTAAGGAGATGCAATCCCATGGTAGCCGGTGACCAACGATTGGTTCATACGCCATTTGTTCCCGCAGGATACTGGAGCCCATGTGCACCATTGGTTTGGAATCCGGTTAAAGCGCCGGACATTCGCTTTTCGTCCTCTCATTTTCGTAAACAACACCCCCGCCACGAGAAGGCAATGAGTAGGACTTCCCTGGCAGAGGCTGTATACGCGCGGCCGTATGAGAGTATTTCGAGAGGGAGAGCCGACTCTCACCACTCTCAGCCGTACCAGGGCATTCGGGGGCGCTTATTAAAAGAGGGAGAGAACCAATGACATTTATGGTCTTTTCAAATGGGAAGTACAATCTGAAGATAAAAATGGGCGCTTTCGTCGCGAAAATGAGAAATTTCAAATTTAAAAATTAAATTACAAAAATAAGACGTTTACTAAGTGATTTCTGGTGATCTAGCATCCCAAACACCTCTCTTAACAGCGTACGTTATTGAACTTTATCTGCATCTTGACCGTTGGTCACCGAAGTGACTACTATGTGGGAAGGAGATCAATTTGTTGTTGTACTTTTTCTTGCGTAGGGACTGCAGGAAAATTGAAGGTATCTGACAGATTTTCGAGTGGGAGATTTCCTTCTGTTGATGGGCGATCTGGGGCTAACCGTTTCCGTAGCCGGTTTCGGTGTCGAGTTCACTTGTCTATTCCTACCTCTACTTCGTATATGATTTGGCCTAACGTTATGACCACACGTGCTTCAGTTCAAGGACCATGGCCTGCTTTGCATTCCCGAGCAAACACCGAACATCTAACCTCGTTCGTTGGCAGTTTCTGGAACTTAGTCTGTGGTGTTATGGTTTTCGGAAGCATCAGCTTGTGGATCGTCCTCAATCTTCTTATAAAGATCTCTGCTGCAGACTTTTGTTGTCATGGCATATCATTCATTGTCGTTCGATAAACGACTAAGAAGCTTTGTAGTGTTTCGTCTGGCATCACTCTCCCTTCTGGCTGCAGTAGATCCCTCCTAAACGTATCCACAAACCCTTCTGCTTGACCATTTGACTGTAGGTGGCAAGGGGACGAGCGAAAATGTTTGGTGGCTAACCGTCGGCAGGATTCTTGGAACCGAATGGAGGTGAACTGTGCGCCGTTATTTGATATGATTACATTAGGTAGTCCATTGCGGAAGAAAATCCGTCAAGAGCTGTATCGTTTTGGTCGTTGGTGGCATAATGGGAAGGATTTCTGACCATTTTGGAAACGCAACTATATAAGTAGTTGCGTTGATTGGACCAACGAAGTTAACATGTACCCTGGATCAGGGATACCCGGGCCGTGGCCTTGAAACTGGCATTATTTTTGTGTTAAACTTCGCCGCTTGCTGACACTGCGTGCATTCGCCTACCAACTCCATGATGTGCCGACCAATAAGAGGCCAACATACATAACTTTTAGCTACGGATTTCATTCTTTCTACACCAAGATGACGAGTACGAAACTGCTTCAGCATCTTTGACCGTAGGGTTTCTAGCACCACCTCCCTCCAAACATCAAGCATTCATTCACGACGGTAGATATTCATTAAATGTAGTCTAGGTATTTCACATAACTAAATTATAATACACATCAAATTAGAGTAAACAATAGAATTCAAATAAGATTTATGACTTAAATCTATCGACTAATCGATGTTTCTTCATCGAAAACTCAAAGTATTTAGTTAGTCATACGTAATTTAACTTCGAATTCAACTCAAACAAACTGGACTTTTATAGGATATTTTTCTAATAAATCAATGCAGTTTAACGAAATAATATAAATTATTTCTACTTTATCTTATTTATTGAATGACACCTTTGAAGTTTTTGTTTGGTTTTGTCGATTTCAATGGCTTTTTAGCCTAATAATAGATTTGTGTTTCCAAATACTTGAAAATTAAGTTAACCTTTCTGGTTCCAGTCAGCTACAATCAACATTGAACCTGGTACAAATAATACATCAGGTTAATCGGTCATACCATATCAGTTACGAAGAGATGAAAATAATAAGAGGAATATCGAAAGAGTCTTTACTAATGATATCAATGATAATCATGAGGAAGACTAAATAATGTATTTTGATTATGATTATTGGTCATTGAAGCAAAAACATTTCTTTATATAATCTCTATTTCAATGTTTAGTAAGAGTGTAGGTCATTTATTAAGTATAGATTTGTGTACTGGGCTTTAGATTTTCCTATCTGTGTAGAAAACCTAATGCTACTAATTACCAGTTTTCCAACGCGAAATGATCAAGGTGAATTTTAAGTTGATTGATGACACAGAGCCGAAAACTTTAACTAACAAATCCACTGTTTTGTTTCAATTGTTTAGCTTAATAAATGACTGTGACTAGATAAACTAATGAAGATAAACTGTTTGATTAATAAAATTAATTATTTTGATTTCATGTTTTTTTTCAGAAAACTGCCTCCACCGCAATTAATCTCGAAAGGTGATCGTAAAAAAGTTCGTTGTTTGTTATTATGACATGTTGGTTGATGTGGAGGCTAATTAAACTTTTCTCATATACTTAAACGAAGCGTAATCATCTTCAGTGCCTAGGTGCTTCTTCAATATTTGATATCATTGATCGGTATACATCCTGCATACCCCCACCCTGCCTTCTCATATCCTGTTTTCTTCCTAACCGATTCACAATGTGCTTCTAGATGTCTAAACAGATATGTAAAATGAAAATGTTAATGATGGTATTCCAGTGAATTTGGCTAAAATATCATATCAGTTAAACCTGTGATTTGGTATTTTCTTCCTCCTACTCTTCATTACCTTCAATCTCCAGGTTTTTTTATGCATCTACTACTAATATTTTTGTTATATGCTTTGGAACGATTGCATTAATGCGGTGTTAAACAGTAACCATAATAATAACCCAAATTGCGCCGATTCCACCTAGTTAACCACTTATTTTCCCCCATCATATTAAACATGCATACACAAACACTGACATTTTGTACAGGATTTGCTTCGATCTTTTATTTCTCTGTAAAACAAGATTTTTTCTTAACTGTTATCGGTTATTATACTTGTACCTTCCAGTTTCCACTATTGTATCAAGTCTTGCATACGACCACACTAAAGAAAAGTGGCGTTTTCGAATAATGTTGAACTTTAATGCTTCAGTGGTTCTTATGTGGTATCTTGTTCCTTAGTAATATGTATTTGGCTGTTCGTATAGTTTTTATACTTACCTGATCATTTTTTGTACTTATTTAATACCAATGATGTAATAGTTCTGCGTTGTGACTGACTTAAGATGTGATACTAAAATCAACAGTAGTAATAATAACGTTAAGACTTGTATGCTTGTTTTTTCTGTCAGAATCATTTATCTAGGTTAATACAACCACTTTTTGTAAATTCTTTGTTTTCTCTACAATTCCTGTTTGCAACATACACATCTATGACTGATTAAGCTTTTGTTTTATCCTTTGCAAGATGGTCGTGTATATTTCCACTCTGAAAACGTCGATCAGCTTGCTGTCGAACATTTGTGGCTTGATACTCATCCAGTTCTCAGCATCTTTACATCGTAAATATCAGTTCTTCCTTCTTTCTGTACCTTTCCGTCTCTATATTTGTGTATCCCCTTTTGTCTTTCCTATCTATTAATCCGTCTCGTAGGTGTTGTACATTCTACCTATTGATTACGTTAATAATGTTTTTCTACAATGTTATTGTTACTGATATGGTAATTGTGTTGCTTATTATCATCTACTGGGACGCTCTTCGGTAGTTTAACCGCTTATTTTAACTTCAGGGTGTTCAGTATACTTGTCCATTTGACTAAACTTCCCAATGCTGTCCCTTTGGAAGAGGGCTACATATCAATGACTTTGTGAACAACTGATTGCAGTAGTTTCCAAAGGAAATGGATAAGTGTTTAGTTGTATATTCTGATTAATTGATTACTTATTATTCTGCCTCAAATTCTTATTAAATTACATTAAGAAAACTTGGGTGTCTATATAAAATTACAATAACCCGAAATGTAATCGTGTCTCATAGAAGTCCATTTGATTTCCTGAAAAAAACTACCTGAAATCGTGTTTATTTCAAAGATATGTTTATATACAGGTAGAGTAATTACGTTTTCATCACAATTGATGTTGAAGACATTACGATGGACGAGTTATTATTATTGGAAATTCCAGGAAACGTTTGAACTCAGTGTTAATTCTTACTGAGATATCCTAAGCTTGTCTCTTATTGTGTAATACACCATAGAAATAGGAATCTCAGAAATGGTAGGAAAACATGTAGTCAAAGGAGCGTTTAGGAACTAGGGCAGCAGATAGGGTGAATACATTTACCATTTTACCTTCTTCAACCTAGCGAATCAATCCTACCGACTGATTGGAAAACAATACCTAGAGCTTTTTTGTGAAGTTACCAAAATTAGCTAAGAATTAAACTTCTTAAGTTGGCTGAGTATATGTATTTTCTAGTCGGTGAACTTGTTTCTTATTCTATTTTCCTTTTAAAAAGATTTTTGTGCTATTCTACGTTATATGCACTTGTCCATATATATGATTAAAAAAACATGGGTCCGTAGGCTTTGTCAATGGTTAAATCCTACCTAGTATGTATTTGTAGGAAACTTCAGTTATATCCTTTACAATCCTAAAATTACTAATGATTTTCCAAAGCTTGTAAAATATGATCGGGGGAAATCTCAAACTTTTATACGGTTATGCCGCTTAAAATTCAAAATTAAAGTAACCGGCAGGTTTACTTAGCACTAAACTTAGTACCTCAAGTAAACTAGTAGTTGTTGTTTGATTTTCGATATATATTAGTAAGGTATTACAGTTATATTTTGCTTTTTGTCGTTCAACATACAGCCGACTCGCACTATATATTTAAGCGGACAGTCACTTTTTTGTGTCCTAACTCGTAGGTGAAACATCAAGCTTTCTTTCCAAATAACATGCTGAAGGACGATTGTTGGAGAAGCGTGGATATGTACTTTTTCCACTAGATACACTAGACTTAAATATTTCAAACAAGTCCTTTCTATTTTGGTGTAAGGGATTGTAGAAACTGTTGAGCATCGTACTTTACATCAAGAACAAACTGCACTCGAACAACAATCAATGAACACTAGGTGACTGTCTCGTCCCAGCATGGGGCTCAACAGCATGTATCGATGAATTCGCCGCGGTCAGACCAAAAATCTTCAGTGAGTGCTTAGCCACTAAGCCGTTATGGAATGGTATCCACTTTCAACTTCAATTAATTTGCAGCATTGTCTCCCAACTACTTCATTCGACACGTCTGAGCTTCACTGGTCACTAGAACTCCATGAATTACCCTTCGAAATTGGCCACTAGTAAGAACATAATTTTTACTAGTATTAATGTAAGCGGTTTGTAGGGTTTGCTGATTTTTGAATTTACAACAAAAATAGATTAATTAGACAACTATTGAAAATCCGGAGGCATGTTACTGCATATTTCGAAGTTAGCACCCGATCTCCTGAGTATCATACAAATTTCTGTACAATGACACACGGTTGTTAACAGATAAGTACCTAGCCTACAATATAGAATATAATATTATTTGGTAAAATATTTGTTTATTCTTTATTTTATGAACCTTCGAACTTAGTGTTTTTACACCGTCGTACATTTATTTTCATTGTTGTGAGGTTGTCTATCCACTTTTTGGTGAGTCTAATACAATCTTTAATGTGAGACTGCAAACATATACTAGTGCAGTGTTTCATGTTATTGTGTACTCTAAAAATATACTGCCCGGACATAAGATGACATCTTTGTAATCATACTGAAAATCAAGGGAACAGAAAAACTGGAATATCAAAAGAATTAGTTAATGTCTTAAAATTATCTGTCGAGTAATTTTTGACGCACCACATGTAGTCTTTGCTACCCAGGCGCAGATATGTCGTGTGCATTCAAAACATGATTTTATGAATTTGGGTGGCAGAGGGTCGATACAAAAATTGTGACTTAACGTTCAGAAAAATTACATTAATTACTGAATTGTATATTAACACGTTTATCGAACAGAAAATAAATAAATAAGTTATAGTAAAATCATTGTTGACTAAAGAAACACTTTACCTAATTTTCTTACTCATTGTTTCAAAAAGATACAGTCGGATATCTCGCAATACCTTGGTAACTTGTGATTTCCGTTATCCCACTTTTGTTCTCATCTTTGAGCTTTACCCATTTTACTACTGAAATGAATTCTCATTTTCTAGAATTCCCACACTAACATATTTGTTTAATTCGACATTTTATAGTCTTCCTATATTTATTGTCATCTGGCTAATCTTCGTTATTATGACATAAAATACGTACATTGATTGCAGTGAATTATTATTTCTAGGCTGTAAGCAGCTGAAAAGAAATCACGAAATAAATGAATTCATCATATTCTACTACGTTTGTCGTTCTTGCTCTAGACAAACACAATTTCCATCATCCCTTAATTGATAGACGGATATCTCACCCTCGCCATAGATGATGTTAGTTAGCAAAAGCCAAACGAGCTTTTTGAATCCGTGTGGGGATTTCGTCAAATACTAACCCATTAGGGCCGATCAGACTTCAAAGATAAGCGAGGTTGTCGACGCGTTTGACTACCTCACTCCCACAGGATTTATTGTCTAAACTCAAAATTTACATTCACGGTGGTTAAATGATTAAAATCTCCAGGTCCCATAACACATTCATACTAGGACCAAGTGTTTGAGCATTGAAACTCGGTATAAATGAAGAATAAAAACCACAAATCGACGGCATTTTAGTGCTCCACAAAAGTCACGAAATATTTCATAGAATATATTTAAGTAAGAGTTGAGTACAAGGAGCAATATTCATTTGTATATTCCATAAATTATGTTGTAGATCTTATTTCGAAAACAATGAATATAATATGCAGGGCACAGAAAGTCGATAGTACGGTTGACTTGAAATGAAAATATCAATTGCCCACAAATCACATATACAGTGTATTTAGATTTAGATTATTTGAACGTACTTAATTAATCGTAATCAACACAGAATCTGGCAATGTGAATGAACTTGTTGCCATATAAATTAGCATAACGAGATATAAATTAACGGGATTTGAATGCCTTAAATCTCAGAGTTGCTGCGACGCAGCTAGGGCTTGATGGAGTGAACATTCGAGTCCCACTAGTTCAATGATACATTTTGATTCCGCTACATTTGTTTGCATAAATAGGTTTTGTCTTTATCCATTCGTGGTTATTTCGACGGTATACTTGTGCTTTTCATAAATCGTAGACTTACGGGACAACGTGTTCAACTGTGACTTGGCAAAAATTGCTTTGGACACACTCCGTAGGATCCTCCCATATTATCTTAATACCTTGTCCAATACATGAGTATGGCTACCAGCTGGTCAGGTAACAATATCCCATGGATTTGCTTTCAGAAACCTGAGGGAAAATATCTTAAAATTTTACAAGTTAATGAGATTCTAAACAAAAATAACTATCAGTAGATATATAAGAAATTCTGTCTAAATTTGATCGAATAGTTTCACAGTATTTGGGCGCCGAATTGGTGTGAGACATTAAATATATCAGAATTAAAACAGATATCATACATGTTACCCGAAATCGTTTCTCAACATAAAGAATTGACTGGTGCTTAAAATCAGACTATTAGAATTCAACTCTCGAAATATGTGGTACGCTAAGATAAAAAAGAACAAAACCACATATCCAACTCATTGTGGCTTTTGTTCGATATTATTTTAGTTTTTAATTCAACATGATAATTAATCAGCATTGTATTTGTTTTAGTTTCAGTGAGATATTTATTTGTAGAGATACTAATCAATATATGCACACTAGTGACTGGCTTCAAGATGTATATCCTAAAGTTCTAGTGAGAAGCAGTGACCACTGGATTTCAACCAGGTCTGTTGTGAGATAGTAACTCACTGATGACAATGATGGATGTATCACTCAATTTCGTGGATTATTTGAAGTTAGACATTGACACCGTTGGATGGCGGCCCAGTGGTCTAGTGGTTAAGCGCACGCGCGCGAGACTTATAGGCCTTGGGTTCGAACCTCGCGGGGGGCGGGGTCGTAGATGCGCACTGCTGAGGAGTCCCACAATAGGACGAAGCGGCCGTCCATTGCTTCCAGGTTTTCTAGCTTCAACTGAATCATGATCTTAACCATTGAAATTACTATAATATCCACAATACCCCTTCTGATATTAATCAATAAGTGTTAGTAAAATCAACATATGTGTGTTTTTTGTCTAAGGACGACGTGTTTTAAGAACATTTAGACAATTAATAAATCTTTATGTTTGCACTACTCATCGTGTGGAATGACAAAATCCTCGTTTTCAATGCATAAGGAAAGATATTACAAGAAAGCTTAAAACAATATTTAAATGTTCATGATTTATTCGTGTTCACATACCGTGTGTACCGATTAAAGGTCGTAAATTAAGAAAAAAATAGCTATAACCAATTTCATAAAATATGTAATTTAATTGATTCGTACAAAGAGAAAGCATAACATATTTATGTTTCTTACCTATATATCAGTCAGTCAGTAACAACGCAGAACTTCGTAAGTACGTACATCGGTTCGAGTTGCCATACCACACTAGCAAACAGATACAATTGTCGATTCAAACCCCATAATGGTAGATGTAGTAAGGGTATAAGGAGTCATCAGAAATATTAGGGTTTGAGGAGGTTATTCAAGGAGTATAATCCAGTGAAATAAATTTGGATAGTGAAAAAAAGGACATAAAGAATTCAGAAGATTAGAATTTGAGAGAACAAAAAGAATGGATACATCTCCGCCATTTCAAACGATTTTGAGCCATGTCATTCAGGGTCTCTAACCATCGGTTGCTATAATCTCACGGATCCCAACCAGGTAGACTACACCTACCAACATAGCTTACTCCACTTGTTAGTGACTTTATGGATTTGTGCTGTTTTGGTCTGACCACCCGTAGCTTACTATATACAAACATTTGTATCATTTAATGAATTATATCACTTTTCAAAATGATAAACAACTATTTTTACTTTAATGATCATTTAAAATCTAAATTGAATGTATTCAATTTGTAATGATCCAAAATCTGTAGAAATTATTATCGGTTAAATTTTCTAGTTGTTCAATTAAAAAAGTAACAATACTTTAATATAGAAAGAGAGAATAAAACAACAACAATTAGATTTCAGATATTTTTTTCACCTTAATAAATCTAAATCTAAGAAATATTTTCGGAAAGACTATAATTTATAAATGAACTAATCAGGTTTAAGATAATAGATCTTAGATTTTAGCGCAAAATTCATTCAACTATTTGGTTAAATAGAGTTTTTGGTATTTTACCTAATATCAGCAACGTGATGAAAACCTTAAATTTAATTGCTGATTCTAATCATCTATTATAAATCATAATCTTTATTCTTTACACAGGTCTATAACTTATTTAGTTCAAGTAAGTTTGTAATGTCCGTTACTATGTTTAGCCCTCATACTAGCCTCTGGACAGGTTAATTTATCCAATCTTCTTAAGTCATGTTTTATTCTTCTTAATTATTCACTTACCAACCCTGACTGTTTTTAGATGAGCGTATGTGTATGCACTTTTTATCCTACTCATCATATATCTGTAGGTTATTTTTGTGTAACTATAAATATAGATTAACGCTTGGTTAAATGGAGTTGACTCATACGCCTTTTCCACTGCGCCTCGTTTCGCTTCACTCTCTTCTCTTTCATTATCTAATCTTTTGTCTGGATAAAAGATTGTACGAAATACACGTATTCGAAATTCATTCTCGTATTTGACTTACTTAATTCCATTATTCACTAACATAGACTAAGTCAATAATTATATATGAGAATATTTGGAAAATATATTTCGATAGCAATCATTCAATAACGATCATTTGTCCAATCTAACTACAGTCAGAATTAGGGCTACAAAAGTGGTGATCCCATCGATAACATCATCCGATCTAATTGACATCAAAATGAGGGACCCCATAAGTTGATAGACATTTTCAAAGTTACTTACGAGACGTTCATAACTTTTCTTAATTGTAAATTTAATAATAATGAAAGAAATTAAGAAATGAAATTCATTTCGGAAAAAAACACAAAATAAACCGAAATATATTACTTATTTAATTTAATCTCATTAATTGTGATTTAAAATTTACATTAATACAAATATTTCTAGAATTATTTACTAAATTATAAGCATTATCATATGAATAATTATAAAATTTCATTAAATAAGCAATTATAATAGATGGTGAACGTGAAATACCAGCTTCACAATGTATAAAACAACAACCCTTAGTTTGTTTTACAATATTTAAAAAATTAAAACAATCATTCAAAATATCATTTAATTGAAATGTTAAATTATCATAAACAATCAGTGATAAATAATGAAAATATTCAGGAAAATAATTTGGTATTATATTTGAAATAAGATTAATGATATGTGTAACATTATAATTGTTTAATAAATTTAAATTTTGAGCTACATCAACAGAACCTACAATAAGAAAACATGTAAACATATAGATAATCAATTAGCAAAAATGTAGAACTTCTTACATACATACGTACATTGCCCCCAAATATCCTTGTACGGCTGAGAATGGGAAGAGTTAGCTTTCCCTCTCGAAATGCTTTCACATAGCCACACGTATATAGCCACCGCCAGGGAAGTCCTACTCATTGCCTTCTCGTGGCGGTGCTGTTTACGAAACTGAGAGGACGAAAGGCGAATGTCCGCCGCTCTAACATGGTCGGTGGACATGGAGAGTTCACCTAGGGAAGTTGGAAAAGTTTGATTCCAAACCAATGGTGCACATGGGCTCCAGTATCCTACAGGAACAAATGGTGTATGAACCAATCGTTGGTCACCGGCTTCCATGGGACTTTATTTCCTTACGATGCTCCACTGCCTTGTGGATCAGACCTTCAGGTCGAAGGCTCCAGGTGTGTCTCCCCAAAAAACCACCTACTTCAGTTTGGGCACCTGGGTAGTATTACAGCTTTCACACAAATCAAATGAGATTTGTGTGGCGCATATGTATCTGGTGCCCCCTTGTACCAATACCTATGTGTTCAAATAATAATAATAATAAACGTATATCAATTCGAGTTGCCATACCATATTAGCATGGAGATAAAATTCTCAATTAAAAATCCCATAATGGTAAATATAGTAAAAGGTATAAATAGTAATTGGAAAGATTATAGTTATTAATAAGTTCATATATATTCAATCAAATTAACTTACCAAATAATATTGTAAATTCTGGAAGTTCTATTTTTCCTATTTGTAAATCCAGATTAAAATTTGGAATAAAACCATAAGAAGAAAAATTAGATTCTAATTGATTAGATTTATCATTTTTTTCAATTTCTAATCCATATTTATTCATTTTAATAATTGAGCCATCGAATTGTCGAACTTCTATAAGTGTTGGTTTTAAAGAATTCATATTGAAACATTGAATAGCATCTTTTATATTATTCATAAGTTGTTTTATTGAATTAAACCTGAAATATTGAATTGAACAATTTTGGCAAATAATTTGATTTAAATGTAAATTATTATATAACATGATTTGAGAATATTTAATTCTATAAACATTCATCATATTAAAACTACTTTTCTTTTTTGAACAAATTTAGATTTAATAAATTTTTTGTGTCAGGTATAATGAAATCTCGTTCTTATTGTTACCCTTAACATTATTGTTATTTGATTAGTTTATTCATGTTTTAGTTAGCCTATCTCTAAGGATATTGTAAGTGGATGTATATAGAATGGTTATGCCTTTGTTTTATCTTATCTTTTAGTCAAGGTACTTCAGCCTAAATGAGTCTAGAAGTGGATAAATGTTGTTATTTCCAACAACCATGGCATCCAGTATTTCAGAAGACGAGATTTCTAATTCAGATATAGCAATTTACATAAATTTATGGTCAATACTAATATTAAAAATATCAAGGATTGATAATAACTTTTCCAACTACGGGGCAAAAAACTAATGTTAGTTGTCAACAGTAATATGAAGCTTTTAGTAATTCAATCTAAATACATTTCCACAGGATAACCGTAGGCTAACAGCATAATGATAACCCACTCTTATCATTTAAATCAAGACAGAATGGTGAATAAGTGATTACACGAGTCATAGTTCAACTGCTATCGAGAAAGTTCAAATACTATTACACTTGATCTAGGAAAACATTTATAACTGCCAGACGTTACAAAGTGTAGCTCGAACCTGAGAATATCAATCCAAGCTACCCACGTTGCTATAATACAAAACCATTAATGAGCATTTTGTAGAAAATTCAGGATATCTGTGTAATTTTATACAATAACTAATTCACACAAGCTATCACTGAAGTTGTTAAAAAGTTTTATAGTTATATATGAGTGGTGTTACGTTCAGACCACCGTTTACTGTGCACAGTCCACAGAAAATTGGTGACCAAGTAATTAAGGATATAACTTTATGTTTACTCTTATATTTGTCCTTGCAATCATATCTAGAATAAATTACATATTCTGTACAATATAGATTCGCAGTAACTTCGTGAATACAATTGGTCAGGGTAAGGAACTATCATTTGGTATCTCTAACCTCATCAGTAGTAAAAATTTAGATATGAATGGCAAGAAAAACTAGCCATTAAGAACATCAAAACCCAATGGTTTAGTTGCATTGAAATACTCACAAACTGTTTTTGTAGGAGAAACTTGGCACAGTAAACTTTGTGTTTACAGAAGCATTTGAGTCGAATCCAGTATTGTTGATTATCTTGATTTTAGTTACATCGAGAACTAATTCCCTTCTATAGATAATCAAATATTTGTTTATTAATTTGTATATGATCTCTTTTTAACAACATCTGCAACCAACCATAACACTTTTGAAACATATGTCGCATACGAATAACTAGTAATTCATATCGAAACTGCAACTTTGTAAGGTTAATAACCGTGACAAAATCTTAGGTGTTATAGTTAGGTTATCAAGATATGTTTCGATTTAGCAGGGTAACTAAATATTTTTACGCACTAGACATAATTAAATTGATTTATTTAGAAGAACGACTCATTAATACATTTTACGAAAATATTTACCAATAATATCTACATACTAGAGACAGCTCAACGTAAGTAGTGTAACGGTTACAAATTTGGCAGTAAGTCGATGTCGAACTTAAGATGTACACTTTTCCCTAACGTGTCTACGGATTCTAACTTCTGCCGAAATATTTCCTGAAAAAGACTTTTCTCTTAAATTAACATATGATTCCCCTCTATTCACCTACAGTTTTCCACTTTTTTGTCACTTGGGGTTAAATTTATGGTAGGAAAGGCATACTGAGACCTCTTATTCACGATCTAGCCGAGCTTTAACTTAAACTTACCTCGTAACCTCGTCAAACTTCCGTAAAATCTAGATCCATGGCAGACCGTTGGGTTTGACACAGTTGGCTGACACTCATCTCTTATAAGTCTCTTGATGTACAACATGATATGTCTAAAGGATATGTTGACATTATATAGACTGCACTAAAGGAATAATCGAAAAATTTTATAATAAGCGAAGCCCACATACATGGGGCTCAAGTTAAGTCACCTGTAACGTTTAGCCTCAGGAAGGTTTTCGTTTGACTTGAAGGTACTTTATCTGCTGAAGGAGTGGAAGTCAGTCAGTCAACTACAACGTACGACCAGGCATACATATACATCGGTTCAATTTGCCAAACTGATTAGCACAACAAGATGAACAAAGAATTCATATATGAATTCGTTGTTCTATTATAGTAGTTAATTCAATGGAGGTTATATATAAAAGAAAAATTGTGTATAGAAATATAGTACAGGAACAAAGAATAAGTTCGTAGCAAGAAAGATACACAGCAATTTCTATCTCATAGCTTAAGGAAAGAAAGAGAATATATATACACATAATAGCGATCGATTCTGAGCAATGTCATCCAGTCTCCAACCATTGGTTACGATAGTCACACGGACCACGACCAAGTATTCTGGATTAACACTGGCATTTCTTACTGTACATGAACTTACGTGCTACAAAGCAGTCTGCCCCACGAAAGTTACAAAACAACTAATAATAAGGAATTACATTCTTCGAATTCTAAAAGATATTACTGGGTGGGTTGCAAACAAACTAGTCACCACAGCAGATAAACGGAATTCAAGCAAGCAAGGAACCTATACACTGAAACACCAAAAGATAGCCTCATCATCAAACAAAACTAATCGAATTATTTGTCCCTAGTCCGAAAAGCTTAGTCTGTCATGCAGACTATCTTCGGCAAGACAAAGTCGAGGTTTCCCAGCTGTAAGACCCTAATGGCCCGACCGACAACGATAGTGGTGCTGCAGAAGTCCTGGTGATACAGTATTAAAGGCACGGGAAAACGTCAGAGCCTCTCGAAGCTGCCCGCTCTTTCGTTTCAACGACCTTGAACGGCCTGACAAGAGGCGGTCATTCCGTATTTCGATTGCCGTGGGTTTGTTGAGTTGCATGGGTATCAAGTGTTTTCATATTTTTCATATTGCTGCGTTAAAAAGCACAAGTTAACCGCCAAAAGCATTAATTTAGCGTTCTCTGTTTTGTAGTGTACACGTTGGCTCTACTGTCGCTTCGTAACTTGATCTGTGATCTCAACTGCTGTAGTAAACCTCAACGAAATATCAAGTCACCGGTAAGTCTTAAATATTTGTAGCACGTCCTTGGGTTATTATTGTCTCAAGGAATAACTTTTTTAGTAATATTGATTTCGGTTTTAAGTGCTTCATGCTCAAGTGACATTTCAGTCGAACTTAGCGATGCTTTTCAAAGTATGATACTGAAGGGCTATTCAAAAAGGACAGTAGTATTTTTCTTCGCTGAGTAAATTTCATTGTTTTGATCGTTTATTGCTTATCAAGACTACTGTTTTCACTTTAATTGAATTCATATCAGTTAAAGTATTCGAATAGAGTATCGTTTTTACCGTTCTCTCATTTAGTTTTATCGTTGGTACTCTTGAGTACCTCATTTTCAACTGTGTCTGTTAGTGCTTTTGATCCTAACAATCTACAGTTCTTCACTTTTTGGTCATTGATTTTTTTGTTTCTGAGTATCATCGCGTCTCGTTCCTTTTTGAAAAGGACTCCTTTTAAATGACCGGACAGTGTATAAGAAGCAGTTGCCGACGTCCGAGTTCTCGTTATCCCTTTGAAAGCGGCATGCAGTGTGACGAGTGCAAAGGCTGGAACCACGAAGTTTGCACGAACTTAACGTCTGCGGCTTTCAAACGGTTCAGTAAGAAGGGTTGCGTGTGGCTTTGTCAACAGTGCTGTTCGGATGCAAACAGCCTGTTAACCGAGGCCATCTCATTGATTGATGCTGCAAAGAAGTGGTTTAGCAAGCGTAGTCGGAACACGTCAAACAGCACTCGATCTGTCGACATGCAAATCGAAATGAAGCAAACTAAGGTTAGTTCGATAACAGACTCACGCCGGTCAAAGAAGGAAAAGCAGTCTCAAAAGGGGCCTGTCTTAAACAAAATCTCAAGGAAAGCAGGTTCTTCTGTTCCCCGTCTCCCAGATGGGATCCCACAGGAAACACCTAGAAGTCGCAATTGCAAGGCCTGATCGGTTTCAAGCGGTAAACATAACCTGACCTCTCAGGTCGTCGACAACCACCCAGAATCCAACACTAGGTTTGATGCAACTGTTGTTGCTTCTCCCAGCACGATTGATGAGTGGGTACAGGTTGTAAGGAAGAAAAAAAGTAGCGATATAAAAGGTAATCCTACCCCCGCGAAGGTAGTCATAAAATCGAAAACTGATCATAGCGACAGATCAGTTATTTTTCATAGAATCAAGGAGAGCGAGAGCTCTGAACCTAAAGCTCGTTTTGAGCATGACACTGTGCTGAATAAGCAGCTGCCTAATCAACTCATGCCTCAAAATATCACTGGGGTCACCCCGCTAAAGGTGTACAGACTGGGGCGTCTAGCGGACTTGAAACCAAATCATTCCAGACTGCTTAAAGTAGTATTCAACTCTTCGAACGAACGTGACCTAATTTTACAGAATGGACACAAATTAAAAGGTTCAGAAGTCTTTATACGAAAGGACTTACCGTTGGCAAACCGTGTAAAAAGACGGGAAGCCGAAAAAGAACTACAACTTAGGTTAGACACTGGCGAAAAGGACCTAAAAATTGTAAATTTTCGGATTGTAAGGCTTCGACAGAGAGTGATACCGAAGCCACTCTGGGTGAAGCAAGAAGCCACTTAAACAGGCTTCGGATCTATTACACCAATGCACGAAGCTTACTCAATAAGCAATCAGAACTAGGTGTACAGATTGACTCTACGAAGCCAAACATAATCACAGTAACGGAAACCTGGCTAACACAGGCTATAGATAGTATGGAATTTGATTTCGAGGGTTTTACGTTAGTAAGGGTCGAAGGAACACAAAAGCGCAAAGGAGGGGGAGTATCTCTATTCATTAGGAGTGCCATCCCGTTTGCCATTATCGACAGTGTATCCCATGAGAATGAGACGTGTGAATTAGTTAGTCTTCGCTTGAAATGCAAGGGACAAGAGCTGCTGATTGGTTTGGTCTATCGCAGTCCAAGCTGTGAGGTAAATGAGATATTGTTAAGCAGTCTCAATACTTGGACTCAAAGTGGTCGTTGTCTAATCCTAGGGGACCTTAATGCACCTATGGTAGACTGGAAAAATCTGCGAACTAAATCGTCGGAGAATTCTTTCGAGCAGGAACTAGTTGATGGGGTTATCACATGTGCTCTAGTGCAACATGTGAATGAAGCGACAAGGTGCGATCCGGACACTGAATCATCCCTACCAGATCTTATACTGACTCACTATGAGGATGACATTGCAAACCTTCATTGTATGCCACCCCTAGGTAAAAGTGATCACGCAGTTTTAATTTTCAAATTCAATATAACTGTCAGTCACGAGCACGCGTCAGTGCAATCCAGACCGTACGTCTAGAAAGCAAACATACCAGACATCATGCACTCAGCATCGTTAGTAGATTGGACAATAGACCCAGAGTCCTCAATTGAAACGGCCTAGGACGCTTTTCGAAATTCATACTTAAAAGTTACCACATCCTACACCTTTGGACTATACCAACGGTGCCGAGAAAAACTCTCCACCATGGTTCAGTAGTGAGGTCCGCATCCTTCTCCGTAAGAGAAGGAAAGTGTGGGATAGATTGAGGTTACTGGGGACTGATTAGACAAAATCTCAGTATCGAAAAGCTCGGAATACTTGTGCCTCGACACTCCATAAGTCCAGAAAGTTGTACGAAGAAAAGATTGTTAAGGAATCCATAGAATGTCCTAAACGCTTGTATTCCTATATAAACCAAAGGACAAAGAGAAGAGGAAATATTCGTGCTCTATGGGGAGACAGTACTTCCGCATCATTAGTGGAAGACGACTTTGGTAAGTCTCAAGTGTTCTCAAACTACTTTAGCAATGTATATACCATAGAAGCACCCTTCCCATCAGTGCACACAGATCCCCACACATAAACTGCATAGCGTGACCATTAAAGAACTCGATGTCTTTGGTTTGCTAAATAAGCTTGACATAGGTAAATTCACGGGGCCCGATGAATTGCATCCCAGGCTACTGAAGGAATTAGCTAAATTCGGTGCGAACTCTTTAGGTATATGCTTTAACCTATCCGTAACGCAGGGTCGTTTACCCAAAGACTAGAAAACCGCCATGGTAAGTCCTGTCTTCAAAACAGGTACGAAAAACAAACCTGAGAATTACCGCCCCGTTAGCCTAACTAGTGTGGTTGTTAAAATCTTAGAAAAGATTATTCGGAAAGAGCTTTTTAAGTATCTCAATAAAAACCGGATCCTCTCGGAGAAGCAGCACGGTTTCAGAATAGGTTATTCTTGTCTCACTAACTTATTAGTGGCTCGTGAAAGCTGGTGCGCTCTTAAGGACCAAAAGTTACATGTAGACGTAGCCTTCATTGATTTCAGCAAAGCTTTTGACAACGTTCCGCACAACCGGCTGTTGTATAAGTTAAGAAATGTCGGAATTGGAGGCAATCTATTGATGTGGATAAAAGACTTCTTAGTTGGGCGTCAACAAAGAGTTCGGGTGAACTCGAAGTTATCTAGCTGGAGAACTGTGCTTAGTGGAGTGCCCCAGGGTACAGTTTTGGGGCCAGTGCTATTCCTCTTGTATGTAAATGACCTACCTTGTCTCCTATCATCATCGGTCTTGCTATATGCTGACGATGTCAAGATATGGAGAACGATACGATGTAAGAGTGATAGCTTAGAACTTCAAAATGACCTGAAGAAGTTATCTGAATGGTCTCAAACATGGCAGTTGCCGATAAATACTTCCAAGTGTGTTGTGATGCATATCGGTCATCAAGGCACAGATACATACACGATGAATAACACTGAGCTACCTGTCGTCCAGACATATAATGACTTAGAAGTTATCGTTAGTCAAGACTTAAAGACTACTGCACACTACCGTGCAATAGCCGCCAAAGGTTTTAGAACGTTATGGTCAATACGTAGGGCTTTTAGTTATGTCGACGCTAAAACGTTTTTGACTTTGTATGCAGTGTTCGTACGTCCTAAACTTGAGTTCTGCATACAAGCGGCCAGCCCCTGCCTAAAAAAAGACAGTGAGCTTCTGGAAAAGTTTCAGAGAACGGCGACTAAGCTGATTCCCGGAATAGCGAAGCTTCCATATGAAGTTCGACTAGCCAAGCTGAACCTTTTCCCGTTGTCATATCGCAGAGCTAGAGGCGACTTTGTTACAGTTTTCAAATAGCTTAGTGCCAAATTTGCACCTGATATGCCCTCATTTTTCTTGTCTTCCAAAACAGAGAATTTACTAGGACACTCCGAAAAAGTTCACAAGCCCAGAACAAATTACTTGTCAGCTGACTATCGACTTTCCCATCGAATCATCAACGAGTGGAACTCATTACCTCAGCACGTGGTTGAGGCTCCATCCGTCCATTCTTTCAAGAGAAAGTTGGATCAACTGAGAGACCACCATTGCCGGGACTAACACAGGCCATCGAGCCTCCTGTCCCTCCCAAAATGAAACTGAACAAGCGTTTCGCATGTTGGGACAACTTTGTTCATTTCGAGAGAGGCAACTTCAATCCTAGCAACACAGTTTAGTGTGATGTTCTCACATTTACTAGGCCAAGACACAATACCAGACAATTAGAAGTGGGGGCACACCACGTTGATTTCCGAAAATGACCTGCCCAATGAAATTTTCAAGTTACCGGCTAGAAACACTTATCTAGGTATCGAAAAAATTTATCACCACGACAACACTGTCTAAAGAAAATTCACTTATACATAACTAACCAGCTGACTTCAGTGGGCTGATAGACAACAATTCTAGATCGCAGGGCATGAATAGATGTTATATACCTTAACTTCTCAAAAGCTTTTGATAGGTCCAGTGATACGTCTCATAAATAAACTCAAATAGTTAAGTGTCAGATCACTCTAATATTTTGGCTTACTTCATGTCTGAATGATCTACTTCATAAGGTCACGATAAACTTTATTTTGTCTCAGATTACAGAGTTTCGTAGTGATCTTCTCTATAGTTTAGTACTGGGAACCCTTCCCTTTTTAACCTATTTATACGACATGCCTCAGCTGTTATCGTCTGATTTATTACTTTTCACAGAACGTGTGAAACTGTGGAGAGGAGTTTGTGACTATGGTGACAGACTGACAGTTCAGGAGCATCTAACTCGAGTTATAAGCGTGGTGGATGATAACGGACTTACTTTCAAGACTTCAAAGTGTAATTCAATCTATCTAAGAAATGTCACGCTATGAAAAAATGCGTTAAACAAGAAAACTTTTGAATAATAACTTTAAGGCTTAGTTTTGGTGAGTGAGAAAATGGAACTTTTCACTTAATGTTTTACAGGGTACCAAAATATAGTGCTTTTTACTTTCGGAGGAATAAGACTACACTGGAACGTATAAAAAGCAAGTCACCAAATTGTGCGGGGCCTGAATTCAGACATTATGGGGAGTGCCTCAAATGAATCTTTACCCATTAGTATACAGGCGTCTCCGAGATTATCTTCTAATGATTTGCACTATCCTAATCACTCCTCTGTAACCCCTTAAATACTTAAGTAAGCTCACTCTTGAAACACACTTAGAGGGAACTCATAAATTAGTTGCGTAATATGGCGCAAAGGACCACAGGTGCGCCTGCTCTTTACGAGCGCTTGAATTTTGAAACTCACTGCCACCTGAGGTTGTCTGAGCGACTCCTTGGGGTCCCTCAAGAGAAAAGCTTACGTATCTTTGGGGACCTAGAGAAAGTGTTTCACGATAATTTACCATTATTTCTTTTTTTCTTGTTAGAAATACTTAATGTTTTACCTGGAGGCAGTGATTATCAGGTGAAGGGAAAGAAAACATGCGTCTCATCCCCACCAAACGTCAAAATTGGACAATGTAGTCGATTATGTATAGAATAGTCTTCCTAAAGAAACCATCAGTGATGTTCACTATATGTAGCCCATGATCGCGAATGCTTACTTTATAATTAATTATCAGCAAGTTGCGTTTGGGTTATTTCGTTATGATTGATCGTTAAGAGAGTTTTATTCGGAGGATGGGATTCTTACTAGGCTTTTTGTCACGCACTAACAAACCGATTTACATGAAAAGCATCCTGGATTTGTACCCGTCGTTCATACGAAGAATAGAAATAAGAAAATATGAGAAGTCACTCTGTATATTTTTCGCTCTGATGACAAGTGAGAATAAATGTGGACGTCCAATGTAGTTATTTAGCACAAATAAACAGTCAGAACATGTTGTCGATTGGTTTTAGATGTTTGCTAACATTGCGTGAAGTACTACCTATGCGCGAATTTCAGTTACGGGTTGTGCTCGAGCAAAATAGTGGATATCAGAACGACTCATAGACATCGCAACAAAGTACATGGTCGATCATTAATGCTCTGTTTTCGAAATACTCAGTATTAACTAAATTCACGAAGGACATCATTTTGTAGATGAATCCTGCTATGCGTGAACCGTCAACTGATAGGCAAGAAGTCGATTTTTGGAGATGTATTAAATCATTTGCGAGCTCATCCTACTCAGTATGATGTGCTTGGTGTAATCTGAGATCTCATTCAGAGAACTGGAGTTTAGTCAGGTTGTGTTTTTCAACGTAAGAACAAGTTGAAATCTGCCAAAAATATCCGAGCGTAATTCGCACTGATTCTATGTGCAACACCAACGGGAAATATCAAGGAAGCTACCTTCGAAATATATACCTGGATATTCATCATTCCAATTTGTTGCAAGAGATAACTATGAACGTAGATGTCTAATTATCTTCGCATATGTGAGGAAAGAAGTGACTTATGGTATCATGCGGATTCTAAGCATGTTTGCTAATGTTATGTAAGAAACATCAAGTACCAAACACTTGAAGGACTCTACTAGAGGAACAAAAATGGATTTCAACATAACACGGACATGCCAACATAGTACTTTGCGATATATTCTCTGGGCATTTCGCAAGAAGGTATATGTAGTGCGTTATAAAACCAGCCATACATATTCACGAGACCCTCTGATAAAAGCTTGTTCGTGCTGACTGGATATATTGCACAGTAAGTAACAAGTTACCCTTAATGCATGGCTTAACCTCTACCGACTGATCAAATCACGTTTAGCGCCAGATGTCCGACAGTACCCGAGAAGATGCTGATTAAGCTGGAACGATAAACCGGTATGTGAGTAAACCGAGTATGTTTTAACCTTATGGAGCTCCACCAAGAACAGTGTTGTGTCACAGCATCGCCAGCTGAAGATTGACCTAAAGGAGCAAGATCCTTTTTATGTATCGGTGCTGAAGTTTTACGGATGGAAAATTTTAATATCGAATAGGAAAGTAAAACTATCCACTGGAAGTTTCTTCAGAATTACTTGACGTACTTGCAAACCTCAAAGAGTGTGCCGGTAAAAGTTTTCTACATCAGTGGAAGAAGACAAATCACCTTCGTGTTCAGTACGGGACACGAAGTTTAATATTTACCAAAGTACCATCTCATTAGGAAGTTCACTTAAGCCCCTGGAAATGAATTTATAAGATAGCCCAAACTCGCCCCAACCCACGATAGCATATGCTCCTTGCATTTTTGAAACGTCAGAGTTTTACAAGTAGATGCTCCATATATTACAAAAGTCATATTACTAGGTATTAATTCATTTGAAACCGTAGACGATGAAAGAAGGCAGAAATCGCAAACCCGCCAACAACCAATATAGTTTTTTTTTCGACCACCATCGAGGGAGATTTCTCATAATATACAACCTAGCAGGAAAGATAACAGAAGAATCCTGTGGGAATTTAATGATAACTTCGAACATGAAGCAACAAAGAATTTGAAATGCTGACTCTAGAATGACATATTGTACAGATAATCGTTGTTACTAATAAGATATATTTCAATATCAGCTACCCATATATTTAGAGAACATTCACGAAGATTGAATGTGACCTTATTTCATAATAAACTATGTCTATATGTACTCAATACATTGACAATGTTCTGATAAAGTATTTACTTATTGCTAATTACTTCTTTTCTTCATATTCTTAGCAATATGGGGAGATAGACCAGTATTGTGAACGGGTACAGGTCCTTATGGCGGTTTAATTTGTTCACGATTTGTCATATTTATTGAGCTTACAGCGTATACTGAAGCTATCGGAGGAATCACTTAGTTACTTCAATTAAAGTTAACATTATTTAGATAAATTATCGCCCTAACGAATCATATGTAGTAGTATGCTAAAATAACAAGTAACCCTCATCTACTTACCACTTAGGTTGTTGCTGCTTACAGTAACCGAAAAAGTTTTCATCGTATTTAATACATATATGATGATTATACATAATTGTATACTTATTTCAGTGTATGAAAACTTGGCTGTCAAATGTATCAATTCACCTCTTCTTTTCTCTTTTTTTCTGCATGATCTGCCATCTTCTACAGAAAACACTTTTGTGAAATATGCCGATGATCTCACTGTATGTATGCCTATCTCTTCCTCTTAACATCCCATATAAATGAATGGGTTTTTGTCTCGTATTGATTGTTGATCTGTTGGTAATGGTCTCATACTTAATCCGTCTAAATGTCAAGCTGTTAACTTTAGCATGAGACATGAACGGAATCTAAACACCATTTTGAGATCACAAAATGCTTGTGCCATCGGAGATTCTTTGATAAAAACAGCGTCGAAGGTCAATTATCTTGGTGTTACCTTTACCTCTGATCTCTCTTGGTCTTCCCACGTTTTATTGTTCTCGAAGAAGGTTTTCCGTCTGACTTACTACATAAAGAGATTGCATGCTTTTGGGATTACTTGTCATTTACCCTTACAATTTGTCAATTCTTGCGTATTACCTATTATTGTTTACTGTTCTTCATTATTCTTTCACGGGCTTTTGAGAAAAGACTTTGCTGTAGTGCGGAGAGTGCTGAATGCAGTGGTGTATCTTTCGAGGTCATAATTAATATGGTTGTGGACAGACATCTAAAGTCATGCAAACTCCTGGCAGGTGTTATTATATCAGATACTAACCATCTCCTTCACTCTTATCATTCTCCTTGTATATCTTCTGGTAGAACGAGACGTAATTACATTAAAATCCATGCATACAAGCAAAAGTATAAAAGTTCCATAATATCTTACTTTGTGACAGACAGGTTGCAAGAGTTAACCTAGTCAATAACCTGAATTCCTAACATGTCTCTAATTTTAAAAGTTTTACAGTTTTTTGGTTCGATATTTTTAAACCTTTTTTGTTTTTGTTACTGTTTTTTGCGTAAGTAACTTGTTGAAATACCCTATGATGAGAATTCTATATAGTACCAAAATGTAATATTGAATAAAGCCATTTATAATAACAATAATCCCACTGGTTAACTTGTGCTCACTTTTGTGGTTAATTAGAATGCCTTATACATGAATTCTCCCAACATTTCCTTATTTGGTTGCTTCTATCCATCTATCTGTCAGTCGAATTCCCCTGCCATATCTATATATAAATACCTGAGACACACTGAGTAGTCATCTTGGGCTGTTTAAATCCACTTCATAATAGTATAATGGAGTCCTGGATTTATTACGTAGAATATCCTACTGCCAGTGTCATCCGTATTCTCACGCAATTCTTGGCCTCAATATGAATCTAACTCAATTACAAAGGGATCTGAGTCTAATGTTAATCTACTACTACTATCACTTCGAAATGATTGTGTTCACTCAGTCCTACTACAGTGTGATTGTTCAATACCTCAGTGTATCCCAGTTGACCAAATTACTCAAATATAAAGTCAGAAACATTATTGTCGTAGTGCATATTTGAATCATCTGTCCTCGGCCATCGAGTATATATATAGCAAACATAACAGAATATTGAATCAAAAATGGAGTCCTCGGCTTTCAATGGCTATCATCACTTTTTAGTATGAATATTAGAAGAAACAGACAGATCGGGAATTTTGTACTTTTAAAAAGATGTCTACTGAACGTTATCTACAATGGTGTATACCGATAGTTCATATCGTCACAGCCTTCTGGTTTCTAAACGTTTCTGTTGGTCAGCCTCAGTCCGTAGGCACGAAATCTCGATGTACATAATCCATAATAAGATCTTCCAATAAACTGCATATTTTTAATAAAATACTGTTACATGTTTTGACGAGGAGACCCAATCATTCTCCAATTTTCGTCAACGAAGAAATAGTTTGTTGCAGTCCGGGGGACTACATGTGTTAACATTATTGTTTTCAAGATGAGAAAAATAAAGGTATGTCAGTTCTTGATTACACTTGTGATAACCTTAAAATTTCGATCTAATGCTTCCACGTTTTAAGCACAAAACGTTGAAAGAAATAGACTTCTACAAAATTCAGTATTTTATTTGATGTTCATTAACAAATCATTTCTTTATTGGTACTACCTTTTTTCCTTTAGTACAGACTTTATCATAGAAAACGTCCAGGTTAGTGTTAATACTGCAAACGTTCGTGTTTGCATGTGACTAGTAAATTTGCCTGATTGTGTCCTTCATCATATATTGAGGATTGTTACGATGCGATGAGGTGCTTTAGATAATAATGTGACTTCCACGTCAGATCTTATAGATTAGGCGGTTACATCATGCCAAATCTACAATTTTAGGATTAGGTCTATTAGCAGACCAGTACTAATATCATGGTAGACCATAATTCTACAAGGCAACATTTCGACTCCTGAAATATTTAGTCTGATATAAGTGAACAGTTTAGAAGCATGCTGTTGAGCAAACTTTTCTTGTTTTGGGATGATCTACCAATAACATTTAATGAATTTAAACACACAAGATAAGTGTAGTTCTCTTGCCTTGTAGACT